CAGTTTGGGGCTGAATTCTTCGCTCGTTCGAGAGAGAGCGAGAGAGAGAGAGAGAGAGAGAGAGAGAGAGAGAGAGAGAGAGAGAGAGAGAGAGAGAGAGAGAGAGAGAGAGATTACTAGCCTCTGCCCTCTGCCCTCAGCCCTCTGCCCTCTCCTATCCGAGCTATATAAGGGGCCCCCTAGGCCTCTTCTCCTCATTATTCAGTTTGGGGCTGAATTTTTCGCTCACGCCGGTCGCCTTCGGCGGCCAACGCTCGACAGTGCGGCCTTCGGCCGCGCGCTAGGGACGGCAAGGGAGAAGCAAACAAGTGACTATCGGCAAGACATACATCGGATGAGAACAACTACTTCTACCTAAGACAACAATGGACCAAGCCGGGGCGGGTGCTACAACCGATCCACCTGCAGGGCATGCAGAATGCCCGTCATCGTCTGCCACACCGAGCGGACCACCAGAATGGCGGCGCCAATCACGTCGGCTCCGGAACCTGCCCGCAGGTACCTCCGTAAGTCCCGCACAGCCGCGTCCAGTTGCCCCACAGCCCCAACGCCTCCCCGCACGGGCGCGGCCAACACATGCGCCAAGAGGAGGGCAATTTGGTCGGCCGCGTCAAGACACTCGTCCCGCGGGCCGTCAAACAGAGACCCCGCTGGGACGGGCGGAAGAGACCCGTGGGCCAGGGACTGCACAAGTAGGAGCGCACGAAGGTTCTCCGAGAGCCTCCATAACTGTCCGAGCGTCGCCTCCGGAACCTTGACCCGCGGGGGAAGGAGCTCCTCCACCAGAGAGGGAAGTTGAAGTCGAGGAAGTCCGGCCCCACCACAGTGAGCAGGGGCCGAAGGAGCCGGCAGTGATACCGCCGGCGTCGGAGCAACCACAGGGCGAGTAGCGGGAAGGGGAGCCAATGGAGACGGAGCCGCACGCCGCGAACTGCTCTGACCCGCCGAGCCTGCTAGGCCGTCGCGGAAGGCCGCGGTCACAATCTGCTGCACGTCAACAACCGACGCCGGCGCATCCTGCCACCCGCCACGCCCGCGACCATGACCCCCCCTCCAGCCACCCCGGTGCGGATTCCAGTTCGCTTTGGGCTGCCGCCGGCGAGGGGAATCACGCCGTCGCCGAGTCACCTCCCGCTCGTCTTGTGGGGCGGGCGATTGAGGGCGGGAGTGACGGCGATCAGGCGACTGCGACGGATGCTGCTGAACAGCCGGAGGTTGAGCAGGCGCAGACGAGGGCGCCACGGGGAGCCCAAAGGCAGCCTTCTCGGCTGGCACGGCGGACGAGGAGCCACGTGCGCCGGCGCAGCTCGCGGCGAACTGCTCTGGCTGTGCGCCGCCCTCTCCTCGCGAACGGCCCGCGACACCTCCCGCTGAAGATCCGCCATTGTCACGGGCGGACGATACCTCCCGCGACCACCACGTCCGTGGGGACCCCTCCAGTCCCCATTGCCTCCTGGATGAGCGGGCCACTGGGCCTGGTGCTGGTAGCGCCGGGGGGAGTTGCGCCGGCGCCGCGACGTCTCGCGCCCCTGTTGCAGCGCTGGAGAATGGAGCCGTGAGAGACGGCGGTCAGGCGACAGGGGACGAGACGGCTCACCAACAGGGACTGCTGGTGGCAGAGCGGGAGCCACCAGGTCCGCGCCGGGAGGCGCAACCATCGGGGCCGGGCCGACAGTGGTGGCGGACGCCACCTTCGGGGAAGAAGCAGACGCCGGCGCAAGCTCGCCGGGGACAGAAACGACAGGTGCACCAAGAGCGCCAGGGACTGGGACAGGGGGAACAACAACTTCCCCTGCAGGAGCAGCCGTCTTCGGCGCCACAACGGGAGCAGGAGGAACAGGAGCGACAGTCGGAGCGGGAGGAGCAACAGCCGGCGCAGACGGCGCAGCCTCGTTTACGACGTGAGAATCCACGGATACGAGGGGAGGAGTCTTTTCAGCGTCTACTGTCGCGGGCTTCGGAGCAGACGGCGGCGGGGAACCCGTCGCCATGGTCCCCGCTCCGGAGGCAGCCGACGGCTTTTCGAACACAACCGATGCAGCGCTAGCGCGCATTGGCGAGTAATCGGTCACACCAGCAATCACCATCGCGAGAACGAGGAGCGCGAGGCGGAGGGCGCGAAGCTGCTAGCGGACTGGGAGGAGGGCCGGAGAACGGCTATCAGTCAGAGGCACGAAGGGCTTTAAACAGGTTAGATAATGACGAAGAGGGAACGGACCCCTCTTATAGGGAGGAGCCCATGCCGTCGAGCAAAGATGAAGGGACAGAAGGAGAGGAAGGAGTAAGGGAGAATGGGAGGAGGACGCGAGCAAGACCAAGACAGTCCCTTGGCGAGCAAATGGACACCGCTGGTGGACCGTTCGATGCCGATCGTACGGGCGACATTCCACCCACACCATCACGAGCAAGGACGGGCTGCACCAGGCAACATTGGGCCGCGGCAGACACGACGGCGGTGCGGGAAAATCCAAATCTCCCTCGCTATTTCACGCCAGAGGAGCTGACGGTGCGGGCAGACTGGTTCGCGGACATCGCGAACTGGGATATCCCTGCCCTCTGCGACAGTCGGCAACCATCTCTGGCACGACGGTTACCGCCAAACCTGTGCCAGCTGTTTTCGCTGACGCTACTGACCCCGTTACTCCACCTGTCACGAAACCCGGAATCAGAGGCAGGTTGGCGCCTCCTCCTCTTTCTGCCACGCCTAACGCTTCGCCAAAACTCGCCACGGAAACCGAACTGGCCCCAGATCAAGGCCCGGCTCCGAGCCTTCCAGCGTGGCGAGTGGGACCAACTGTACAAGGACGCGATTGAAGCAGTCAACTCACCCGCGCCACCACGTCATCAGCCCGACGCTACCGGGGTCATCAGCAGAGCCAAGGGGCTGGCGAAACGGGGTAGCCTGCGCCGAGCAGTGTTGGCATTAGAGTCAACGCCAGTCTGCAAACCAACCCCAGAAATTCTGGAGGAGCTCCGACGGAAACATCCGCTAGCCGAATGAGGACAAACGACGTGGCCACCCACGTCCGAGTCAAAATTATCCATCTCCCACGCTGACTTCGCCAAACTACTGGGGAGGTGTGAGAATGGGGTCGGTGCCGGCCCTTCGGGAACAACTTTCGAGCACATGCGCGACGCGGCAATCACGAACGGGCGAGTCAGCACCCATCTGCACGCATTGATAAACACCATTTTGGGGGGCAACCTACCAGCACTGGTGGCGGACCTACTGACAGCCTCGCGACTCATAGCCCTGGCCAAACCTGGTGGGGGGGCTCGACCAATCGCGATTGGCGAGTGCATCACTCGGCTGACAGCCAAGGCAGCCCTCGCAGCCACGGGCGATGATGCACGTGACTATTTCCTGCCTCAACAGTATGGAGTGGCTGTGCCAGGTGGGGCCGAGGCAGTTATCCACGTGGCGCGGGCGTATCTGGACAAGCTACCCAACAGCCTGGTGCTGCAGACCGACATCTCGAATGCATTCAACAGCATATCCCGACAAGCTATCGCGACGGCGTTACAAGAACCCGGGCTATCGCCACTAGTGCCGCTGGTGAAACTGACCTATGGTAACCCGTCCAAGTTGCATCTCGACGCAAATTTCGAATGTGACCCACTGACCAGCGAATGGGGCGTGCGTCAAGGGGACCCACTCGGTCCGTTATTATTCGCGGAAGGAATACACCCAGCACTTCGCGACGCTGCTGAGGCATATCCACAGGTGCTTTGTCTGGCTTACGGCGACGATGTCACATTCCTTGGGGAGGCGGCGGACACTGTAGCCGCATTTAATCACTTCACCGAGAGGTTGGCGCACCTGGGGCTAAGACACAACGCGCAGAAATGCGCAGCCTGGAGCAGGGAAGCAACAGTGAAGGATCAGCTGCCGCAAGGAGTTCCATTTTCCCAAGACGGCGTGCGCTTGCTGGGAAGCTTTGTGGGCCCAGACAGCGGGGCGTCACAGTTCCTGTCGGGTCAGTTACAGGAAATGGCAAATCCTTTGCCACTCCTGGAGAAAGCCGACCCCTAGGTAGCATCGCTATTGCTCACCCGCTGTATCTCGAGGCGGGCGGCATACCTCACCAGAACGACACTGCTCCACCTCCTGCCTCACGACACCTGGAGTCGGTGGGGCACTGATCTACTTGCAGCGCTACTCACAGCATGCGGCATCCGCGTCCCCACCTGCCGCACTGAACAAGCACGTGTCTGGGCGCAGGCCTCACTGCCGCCGTCCTTGGGAGGGATAGGCATTACCGACCCCCTAATCGAGGGAGTATACGGGTACGCAGCGAGCTTCACACAAGCCGCGCTTTTCCTGGCATCACTAGACGGCGCCCCTGATGGCGCCTTGACGCAGGCTCGGGATCACATGCTGCTGCCTGCAGACGTCGCCACGCCTCTCCACGCATGGCTATCGGAGTGCGAAGCGGCTTTACCAGAGGATGCACGGGAGATCCTTGAGAAGGAGCGGCTGGAGCGATCAGACATTAGGCTCCAGCACGCATTGGCACTGAGGGTACATGGAAGCAGATATGCCGTACAGGTCATTGAGACTCGACGGATGGCGCTGAACCCTCTGTGCGGACACACGCAGCGGATGTACTCACTCACTGGCTACGGGACCGGGGATTGGCTGACCGCTATCCCCATTGCGGCCAACAGGAGGATAGGGCCCACCCACTTCTCTAATGCCGTGCGTTTCCGGCTGGCCCTCCCCTTCTCCACACCAAAGAAGTGTGACTGCGCTGATCACACCGCCATCACGGACCCCCGCCTCCCTAACCACCTACTCCGCTGCGGCACGGGCAAGCATCGCATCAACACCCATAACGAGGTGCGCGATGCCTGCATTAGCATGGCCCAAGACGCGGGGTTCATTGTCCACAGCGAGTCATCGGCGCACTGCCCCATTGAGGAATAGACGGCAGATTTTACAATGACGGACTGAAGCAGTGGGGCAGTCTACGTATGCGACGTCACCATTACTGACCCTATTAGCACTAGGGATCCAGAGGTGTAGAAAGGCAGGGGCTGGGCGGCAAGGGAGCAAGCGGACAAGAAGATCCAGCACTACGCCACCCTGCCAGAGACAGTGAAGTTCTTCCCACTTGCGGTAGACACCTACGGCTGCCCCTGCGCAGAGGTGCCAGTCTTCCTGAAGCTCTTGGCGGACACTGCAGCTTGGCGCCACTTCAACGCCGACTCCAAATCGTTCTATGCTGCAAAGTTCCTGCACCAGTCACCTCCCGCTCGTCTTGTGGGGCGGGCGACTGAGGGCGGGAGTGACGGCGATCAGGCGACTGCGACCGACGCTGCTGAACAGCCGGAGGTTGAGCAGGCGCAGACGAGGGCGCCACGGGGAGCCTAGAGGCCGCCTTCTCGGCTGGCATGGCAAGGGAGGCAGCCACAGGAGGAGGCCCCTGAAAAGGCGCAGGAGGAGGTGCCTCGCCCAACGCAGGAGCCAACTCAGCAGCACCAGCGGCCGCCACAGCAGGCGACGCCAACACTGAAACGTGCGGCGCAGGAGAGGGGGCCACGTCAGGAGTAGCAGGAGGCGCCACAACGGGCGCAGGTGTCAGGACGAGTGCAGGCACGGGCGTCGGCAAGACCACGCGCGGGGGGGCGGACACTCCCGCCGACCCTCGTCCAGAGTCGACTACCGTGGAGCACGACGTGTGAGCAGGAGAGCCCACACAAGACAACGCCGCAACGGGGGCCACGGGCGCCGACAGAGCCAGCACGACAGGTGCAGCAGACGCCACGCCAAATGGCCGCGGCGAATACGGGAGCGGGGAACCGCCACCAAGCGCAACAGGCATTGCGAGGCGGACGAGGGAGCAGACGAGGAAGCACGCTAGGTAGGGGAGGAGGTCCGGAGAACGGTTTCCAGAGAGCAGCAAGAGTGGCTCTAAGACGGGCTAATGAAGCTAATGAGGAAGAAGCGAGAGACCCTACCTTTGTAGCTGGGCACGAGGCAGGCGAGATGGAGGAGGAGGGAGAAGAATACGTAGAAGAAACCACAGACCAGCAGGATCGATGGACCACTCCCGAACGACGCCAAACCGCATCGGGAGAAATTGGACTTGGGGGGAACGCGATCAGGCAGGCACCAAACACCCCAATCCCACAACCCCAGCCCCGCCAATTTTCGCCAGACCAGCTGGCGAGGGACATAGAGCGCTTCGGTGAAATCCAATCCTGGGACCTGGGGCCACTTCGCGACAGTCGCCAGCCTCCACTTTCCCGCAAAATCCCATCTGACATACGGCCCCTGTTCGCGATGGCGATCTTGACACCACTTCTCCACCTCGCACGTAACCCGACTTCGACCCCAGGCTGGCGCCTGTTACTGTACCTTCCCCGCCTCATCCTTTGCCAACCTTCAACAGAGAAGCCGGATTGGCCGGCAGTGAAGCTGCGACTTCGAAAATTTCTCAAAGGCGAGTGGAAGGAATTGTACGACGCAGCAGTAGCAGCGGTCAACACCCCGCCAGCGCCACGTCACCTGCCAAATGCCTTAGGGAAGCGCTCGAGAGCGGATGGGCTGGCACGTAAGGGGAGCCTTCGCAGGGCAATACTGGCACTCGAGTCAACGCCAGTCGCCGACGCATCAGCAGAAACCCTAGAGGCACTCAAACAAAAACACCCAGCAGCACCCCCTGGAGACATCGATTGGAGCTACCCCGATACCCTAAAAGCTGCGTCAATTGACAAAGCCAGCTTCTTCAAAATCCTATGCCGCAGCGAAAATAGGGTAGGAGGGGGGCCCTCGGGGATGACATTCGAGCACCTAAGGGACGCGGCCATCGCCAACCACGCGGTAACCACCCACCTCCACGCCCTCGTCAACACTGTGCTTAGCATTCGCCGATGACATCACGTTCCTTGGGAAGGCGGCGGACTGCACTGCCGCGTTCAATCACTTCACAACTAGCCTTTGGGACGTAGGGCTACCCCACAACCCCGGGAAATGCGCCGCGTGGAGTGCAGCGCAGGTTCGGGCGCAAGAGCTACCGGAAGGGGTCCCGTTTTGTGGAGAAGGGCTGCGAATTCTGGGCAGCTTCATAGGCACGCCCGAAGGCGCTGCATCATTCCTCCGGGCACAGCTAGAGAAATCGTCGTCCCCCCTCCCACAGATAGCCGAGATGGACCCACAAGTGATAATTGCATGTTAATCGCATGAGAGCCGGAAGGGATGCGATTACCACAGGTGTCTCTATCGCCGATAATCGCATGGTGCGGTGAGCGTGAATGACACCGCAACGAAGTTCAGTCTAGCCGATTTTGCACCAACCGTGTTTGTAGGCCAGCAGGCGTGCAGTCACTAGCGTGCGCGTAGGTGACGCCGAGGTGATAGACACCCTGGAGGCACAGATGGAGGATGCGAGGAGACGCCATGAGGCCGAGGAGTATGGGGCGATACCCTGGGCAGTCGTCGAGGCAGGACTCTGCTCCATGTAGGCGGCGGAGCACCCCCCTTCTCGACCTGCCTCTCCTCGACCGGTGAACAACGATGGCGGCGTCGACGTGGGCGTTAGCGCCGGTGGAGGCCAGGTTGGCAGCAGTGCGGGAGGCACATCGAGGCAGCGAGGTGTGATACACGCTGGTGAAGCCAGCGGCGTTCAAGCACGAGGGATGCAGTCGTCGACGGCTGCAGGCTCCTCGCAAGGCGACGTCGGTGGGCGTCGAAGTGGAGTGTCGCCGATGTCGACGACCGAGGTGACGGCGGGCAGGATTGCACCGAGCTACGGCTACTCCAAGTTTACGACGGACAGGATCTCGGTCACCCCGCCGCTCGTTGGTCGACAGGACATCCTCACCTGGAAGGAAGCCATCGAGCCCCAGCTGGAGATGGCCGGGCTGATCGGTTTCGCCCGAGGGACCGTGGCGACGCCGGGGGAGCACCACCCCGACCTGCGTGCGGAGTTTCACGCCATGCAGTTGTTGACCTTCACGGTCATCTCGCGGTGCTGCTCGCCGGGCATGCAGATCGCCTTGAAGTGGTGCCGGGAGTACCTCGACGCCGGCCATCGGGCGTGGAGCTTCATCGAGTCGACCTACCAAGTCACCGACGACTTGTTCATTGCCTAGCTGGAGGGACAGCAGACGCACCTGCGTATGGGCGAAGAGGAGACGGCGTCCGACTACTATAACCGAGCTCAGCGAATTCTCGCCACCATCAGGATGGCCGGTGCGCAATACTTGACGGCGTCGTACGTCACCCACGTAATGCAGGGACTCTCGAGTAGCTACAACCTCCTGAAGCGGTTGTCTATGGCGCCGAGCACGAGGGCGACGCTCAACGAGGACAACCTGACCTCGTATATCCTGCAGAACGAGGCAAAGCAGGAAGCTGAGCGGTCCCAGGAGCTCTTGGCGCAGGCAAACTTCGTTGCCCCGGCAAAGCATGGTGGCCGACCGGGGCAGCGTGGGCAGCCCGGCGGCAGTGGTAGCAGCGGGAGGAAGCTGGCTAAGGACGCCGACAAGCAGAAGTCGGCCGCGGGTGGCGGTCGAGGAGGAGGTAGTCGGCGTCGGGAGTGCTGGATCTGCCACAGCCCCGACCATCTCTCCTTCGAATGCCCCGATTGCAGCGATGCCGACGACGACGACGCCAAGGGAGGCTGCGGGAGGTCGGCCAACCGTCGTTCACGTCGAGGAAACCAGCTGCGCAAGGAGAAGCAGTCGAACATGTCGACCTCGGCAAAGGACGCCGACTCCTCTGCTGGCGGCAAGGGGCGAGACGACAAGGTGGCGTCGTGCTCGCTGGTCGCCGTCGTGGAGCCGACCGTCTTGCTGGCGCCGGAGGCCGGTGAGGACTTCCAGGCGGTAGCAGCAGCTGTGCAGGCAAACTCGGCGGTGGTCCTGCTTGACAGCGGATGCTCGCACCACCTGATGGGGACGTAGGAGGCCTTCGTCGACTTGGGGCCGAGCGGCGACGTTAAGCACGTGCGCGGCTTCAATGGGGCGCTTCAGGACGTTCAAGGCCGCGGCACTGTCACTCTGCAAGGAGAGGCCGGGAAGCAGGTGCTCATCCCCGATATGCTCTACTTCCCGGGCGTGCGTGCCAACCTGCTTTGAGCCGGCCAGCCGAAGGAGAAGGGCTTGAAGCTGCAGTTGGACGGCGATTGTATGTTGCTCGTCTCGGCAGCAGGAGAGGTGCTTGGCTGGGCAACCTACATCGGACGTGTACTCTGCACCGACCTGCGTCCCTGCCCGGCCACGCCGACGACGCCCTCCACAGAGGTGGTGGCCCTGCGGGCGATCGTTTCGGCGATGAAGGCAACGCCGGACAGGATGCGCGCGAGGCTTGCGTACGTCAACATGGACACTATCCGGAGCTCGGCGAAGCACGAGGTCACCACCGGGCTGGACCTCAAGTCGGCGTCCGGCGCCGACTCACCGTCTGTTTCGTGCATCGGTGGGAAGCTGGCGCGACACACCTTCCCCGACCAGGGATCCGACGCCGAGGACGTGCTGGCCGTTGTGCACATCGACCTGTGCGGGCCTTTCCGCGTGGCTGCCAAGGATGGTAGCCTGTACTTCTTGCTGCTGAAGGACCGCAAGACCCGCTACGTGTGGGTGAAGCCGGTCGCCAAGAAGTCGGATGCGTTGCCGGTGTTCGTGCAGTGGCTGGCGGTGGCTGAGCGGCAGATGAAGAAGTCGGTGCTCATGTTGCACTCGGGCCGGGGAGGGGAGTTCCTCGAGAAGTAGTTCACCGACTTTGTGAACGGCAAGGGGAAAGTCCACGACCTGACCTGCCCGTACACCCCGCAGCAGAACGGCATGGGAGAGCGGGAGATGAGGATGGTGGTGGAGTCTGTGCGCACGATGCTGCTGCACATGGGCGTGCAGCACCACTGGTGGCACCTCGCTCTGCGGCAGGCTGTCTGGGTCCGCAACTGCCTCGAGCGATTGGCGCTGCCGCCGAGGACGACGCTGTACCAGCTGCTCACCGGGAAGAAGCCCGATTTATCGCTGGTGCGGGTGTGGGGCTGCATGGCACAGTTCTTGGTTCCCGAGCAGCAGCGTGGTGGGAAGCTGCAGCCGAAGGACCGGTGGGGCCTCTATCTCGGCGTGTCGGAGGAGAGCAAGGGCTGGGAGCTCCTTGACATCGCCGACAACCGGGTGGTCACCGTCGAGCGAGAGAAGGCGAGGCTGGTCGTGAAGGGCTTCACGCAGGTGTGCGGCGCCGACTACGACGAGACGTTCGCGCCGGTGGGCAGCTACGTCACGCTGAGTATCTTCCTCAGCATCGTCGCCGTCCTCAACCTCAACCTGATGCAGCTCGACATGAAGAACGCCTTCCTGCAGAGCAAGCTCAACCGGGTGCTCTACATGTCCCAGCCGGACTACTTCAACGACAGGATCGGCCGGGTGTGCAAGCTGCTGAAGAGCCTGTACGGGCTGAAGCACTCGCCGCTGCTGTGGTACTTGGCGCTCAACGACGTGCTGGTCGGCGCCGGGTGGAAGAAGAGCCAGGTCGACGAGGCTCTGTACTTCAAGGTCGGCGACGATCGAGTGGCCTGCTGGGTGCTGGTCTACGTCGACGACCTGCTCGCCGCCAGCATGAGCGCCGCGATGCTGGAGGGGCTCAAGGAGCTACTGGAAGCCGCCTTCGAGCTGCGCGAGATCTCGCCGGTGCAGAAGTACCTCGGGCTGGAGATTGTGCATGACAGGTCGGCGGGGAAGCTATGGATGCACCAGCAAGGCTACGCTGACAAGCTACGTAGGCGCTTCATTGACGAGGAGCAGACCGGGCGCACCCCGAAGACGCCGGTCTCGGTCGGTGCCTACGCCGAGCTCACCTTTGACGACGAGG